ATGGCAGCTTTCTTATTTTTTTATTTTAAAATTATTTTTGTCTAATGGTCCAAAATCGTTACGACAATCATTTGGGATGAGCAGCAACAACTAGGATAATCTCTATTAGATCATAGGGGAAATAAAAAACATTGTGCTTTTCATTGGGGAAGTTTTCTTTGAACCTTTTACAGCGTCAGTTTAAATGTTTTATTATAGCTCCTTTTTATGGAAAAAATTATGGAAAGGTTGTTGCTACAGGTTTTGTCAAAGAGTTTCTTCTTGGAATATGTTATTTTGCATGAGAATAGGATAAATATATATATATATATATATTATTTGAGAATTGTATGGTTCTTCGTTTTCTTATTGATCTTTTCTTCATAGGTGGTTAAACCGAGTTCAATGTATCTTTTTTGTTGCAGAGTTTCTTCCTCTTTGTTGTAATCTTTATTCATTATTCCGCTTTATAATGGCAACTAGTAAGTTTCATTTCAGCTTTCAGTTGTATATGTATTTAATCTTGTTTTGATGCTACTAATGTTGTCATAAAGTTGCTATGGCTTGTATCTCTCTACATTGCTATTGTTAAAATCTTTTAAAATTTACCTCTCATTTTTTTTTGGTGGTTCCCATCATTTGGGGTAATATATCCGTAATCACGATTCTTATAATGGTGATCTATGCAGGGCTTCAGTTTGAAAATTCATGTGAAGTTGAAGTTTTTTCCAAGCTGACCAATGCTTACTGCTTGGTTGCAATCGGAGGGTCAGAAAACTTCTAGAGGTGAGCATGTCTTCTACAATTCTTCTTTTCCCTATTGTCATTAATGTATTAAGGTTATATTGGCTCCTTGCAGTGCTTTTGAGTCAGAGTTAGCAGATGTCATTCCAGTCATTAAGACCTCTATTGCTGGCACTAGAATAATAGGACGGCTATGTGCTGGTGAAAATTTTTAAGACTTTCTTGATCTTATCGGAGGTGTGTTGAAATACATGCCTCTTACTTTGCTTAATGTTAGCTTGCTTTGTTTTGACAGGAAATAAGAATGGGCTTCTTGTCCCCCACACCACCACTGATCAAGGTAATTTTATGGGTTAATCTTAGAGTGGGAAGAATGTTGAAGTTGCTTCTATTGTTAGTAGCACTCCGGTGGGGTCTAAAAACATTGGCAATAGCGCAATGTATAATTTGGTTTCTTACTCTTTGCTTTTACTTGAAGCTTCCTTGTTATCTTTAAATCCAAGCTATTTAGCTTGCTCTAAGAATGTGCAAATGACAGTATCGTCCAGCAGATTTTACGAAGATATGAACAATTAGTAAACCTGGGTTCAATTTTAATAACATATCTAGGCACAGTCAATAGATTAAAAGACCATGTTACAAGCATTGTGATTGATTATGAGCTTTATAGGACGGTAAGAAACCCTCAAAATTTCTAAAATGATAACCTATACTCTTGAAGATATTTCCTACCTTTTTTTTGTGCGTTTGTTTTGCTTGCTTGTTTCCTCCTTGCCGCCTTCGGCAATCTTATAAATATTTTTCATATAAAGTAGCTTTGAACCCTTTGTGGTGGTGTAATTTTAACTTCTGATGTAGCTGTTAACAATTCCTTGTTCTACCAAAAATATTATGGAATCTAGGAAGTAATAGAGAGATTCCAGTGTTCAATTTTACTTTTGAAATTAAAACATGTTAAATGATGTATAACTAGTTTTGTATGTTTTATAGTCTTTGTAGCTGTTTGTGACCATCTTCCTTGTCTTATATGTTTGATTCTTGTATAGCAAGAATCTAATACTAGTAGAATGGAAATGGGGCTGTACACCTCCCCAAAATCCTCTCGAGGGAAGAAGTGAGTGTCCATTAGTCAAATCCATCACTGAGCTGCACAAAGGATTGCCTGGTGCAATGGACACTGTAAAGAGCGAAATAGGCTCTGGGACATGGGTTAGAGTGGGGAGTAGATCCAGCATGCCTGACAAATGACAATTGTGTCCTAGTAAAACGTATTATAAAGAAAATGATTAAGATAAAGGTAAAGAAACTTGTCGTGATACAGGATTAAGTTGGCTAAAATGAGGTTTAGCTCAAATAATTTAAATGACTTAGAAAGCTTTATTTGGGTTCTCTATAATTGCGTATCCTTTGGATTGCACTAATTAATTGATGGTCCTCCTGAAGTCAGTTTGATTGTTGGGCGTACCAAGATAGGGGGATGGAAAGACCCTAGGTTAAAATTTATCATATGCCGAAATCAGTGGTGCCGGGAGTGCTGACTAGAACTTTGCCACATTTCTGGTCTGTCAAGATAGGGGGATGGAAACACCCTAGGTTAAAATTAATCATATGCAGAAATTAGTGCTTGCACACGTGTAAATTTCTTCAGGATTATCTCTGCTCTAATTGGCTTGAGATGTGCGACAATTGACATGAATTACTTGGTTTAGTATATCCTGCCTCTAATTTGATTTTCCAAGTGCAAGTTCGTTCAGTTTTGCTTGTAAGCCCCAGAGGCTTTTAAATCACATTTCTTTTCCTTGTTATCGAGGCTTTTAATCACATTCCTTTGTTTTTGTAGGCTAATATTTTACTTTTGACCTAGTTCACTAGTTTAAAGCTTAAACTCAGTTTCTGACATTAATAATCGATTTCTTTTTATTCTTTCTTATTAAAGAACTTCAACACTTGCAAAATAGTACCAGATAAAGTTGCTGTTCAGCGCATAGAAGAGAAACTATCTGCTCTTGGGAACTGTATAGCATGCAATAACCATGTTGCTTTGAATGACCTTTCGACACTTCTTCAAGTTCCATTGGTGGCTGGCACTTCAACCGTGGGAGTGAAGTGATAGCTGCTGGAATGACCGTAAATGACTGGACCGCCAGCTGTGGGTCGGACACCACAGTAACACAACTTTCTGTCATTGAGAGTGTATTCAAGCTGAGAGAAGCACAACCTAGTGCCATTGTTTATGAGACGAGGAAATCATTGATCGACAGTTATGTTTAATTTCTCTTTGTCGGGTTCTGTTAAAACTTTGTGTAAATTTGGAATTAGTGTGAAACGTTGATGTTTGTTGAAGTAAAGAACACCTGAAAATTATGAACATTGATGCATTTTTACCTTTTGATATCTACAAATTACAATGCAGTTTTAAATATTACAACAATTCTATTTATTTATCAAGTTTGATACTTAGGAGATTACTTTCAGCAGTGGGTTTTAGATTTTGTTCTTCTCCTGCTAAACTTCGGGAAATGTTTTTCTTTTGAACAAGTTTTTTGGGAAAATTTCACCTAAATTTCTTATCTTTTGATGACTTTAGCATAAACGTAGCCAAACAAATATACCCAATTTGAAATTTAAGACAAAACCGAAAAAATAACCAAAAATTCAACAATTAAACAAAGAATTGGCCCAGCCAAACAAATGAAAATTCAAACTAAAAATTATAGCCCTCTTCCCCAAACCCAAGAAAAAAAAATAGAGATAAGCAGTCAATTTGTTTATAATAAAGCAAAGAAAAATTATCAAATATTACAATGAAAGTTTCAGATTTCAGTTAATAACATGATATATATCTTTGAAAATATTAAAAAATATAAAATAATTAAAAAAAAATGAGATGTGTTAAAATTTGAAATGTATCAATCTTTAGTTTTATTTATGAAATTAAAAAAAAATTCACTGACGTATCATATAATTTATATAAAGAAAAAGTAAATATGAACATTTCTAATAATAATTTGTGAACAAAATTTTAAATAAAAGTAAAAATCAGAACCGAATTCTGCCAAATCAAAACGATTTGGAATTTTTAATATTTTATTTATTAATTTACATAATCGATGTGGGTCAAAATCATTGGCATCGATTATTGCTTCGAGTAATGTTGGTTTTGCTACTTCTGTTGCTTTGAATTCTGCTCTAAGCAAATATGAATAGGTTGATTTCATTCTTTAAAAAGGGCGACAAAGCTATAATAATTATATCAATAAGAAGACTTAATTTCAAATAGTTGCATCATCCTAAAAGAATATTAATCTTTTAGTTAATTTCATGACTCCTTCATTTTGTCACCTTCCCATAGCCGGCGAACCAAGTAAAAATATAACATCCATTTTTATTGGTGGATCAATTTATTATTTTTTCAATTGATCCTTCAACCTTTAATTAAATATCAAATGAACTCAATTTAGAATAAGCTTGCTTAACTTGCATATGTTGAAATAAGTCGTACCATTAGCCACGTCAACATTTTTCATATAAATTAAATTCATTTGAAACTAAATAATCAATTAAGAACCTAATTGACACAAATAAAAGAATAAAAATTTTAAGTGAAAGTTTTATCATAATTTAAAATGAATTATATTTTTCATTTAATTAATTCGATTTAAATTTTAAAACACTGTTTTTAACCAATAAAAACTTAAAAAGTTAAGTACCAATTATGCTTTTTATGGAGATCTTTTCATTAATTTTTTATTTATATATAATAAGGAAAAGGTTATAGACACTTGTCCAGTATAGACATTTTACATACCCTAGCATAAAATATAAGTTTTCAAAATTTTATTATAATCCATAAAAATTTTAATACTATTCCCTTGAATCCTTAAAATAAAAAAATAAGTATGTGTATTATTTGAGTGTAATACATTAATGCATGTAGCATTTTCATTATTATTATCTTTGCATGTATGAAATTACATGTATAAATAAAAATAATAATTTTTAAAAATAGTGAAGAGAAGCCAACCCAAATACTTAAAAATATATATATATATATAAATATATATATATATATATATATTTAATTTAGAGGCGGTGGAAGAGGCTATGACTCCCATTGGAAATAACAAAGCTAGCTACCTCATTAATCTTGTGCTCATCGACACCAATTAATTCGGTAATAGAGAGTCGAGATGCATAAAACCAAATCAGCTAAGGTTACTTATCCTAAACTAAACATAAAGTTTGGTGTAGGCCATTTGCTATAGCTTAGCAAATTCATAAAAAAAAAAATGTCAGTTAAAGAGTCTTGGACCGTTCCTGTCAAAGAAGAATCCAGCGATTCTCAGCGGCTGATCAACCGGAGTGGCTTCGACTCGAGGACTGGAATTTATAGCTCACTTCTTCAACTTAGTGACCATCTCAAAGTTCCCACTGATCCTGAGCTTGGCATAGCCTCATTTGTGTTATCACAGTTTCCTGATCCTTATGTTGCTGAATCAAAAATTGCACTCATAGATTCAGCTACAAACCAACAACTTACATATGCTCAACTCCATCGATCAATTCGATCACTCGCCTGTGCCCTTTACCACCTCGGAGTCCGCAAAGGCGACGTTGTGTTCCTTTTGTCCCCAAACTCACTCTTATACCCAACAATATGCCTAGCAATATTTTCAGTTGGTGCAATTCTCTCACCTGCCAATCCAATCAATACCCCTTCGGAAATAGCCAAACAAGTACTTGACTCGGGTGCAAAACTCGCGATCTCAGCACCCCAAGAGTTCTACAAACTCGTACAAACTGGGGTGCCTACGATTGTCACATTTCATCATCAATCAAATGGTTGTGATTCATTATCTATAGAAGAATTAATCGAAAGCAGCGATCCACGTGAATTACCAGAAATTAAGGTTAAACAGACGGATACCGCTGCTATATTATACTCTTCGGGTACAACCGGAGTAAGCAAGGGTGTGATATTAACGCATTCAAATTTCATAGCAACAGTTAGACTTGTAAGATGGTATGCAGAAGGAACATCATCCCAAGATGATATATTTCTGGGGTTCATACCAATTTTTCACATATACGGGCTTGGATTTTTCGCGCTAGGACTATTTTGTGCTGGTATCACGACTGTGTTGATGCAAAGATTTGATTTACAGGCAATGGTGAATGCAATTCAGACTCATAAAGTTAACAACATTCCTGCTGTGCCACCAGTGGTACTTGGCCTAGTAAAGTATTGCAAAGGTAATAGTAGCTTGTCAACCCTGAGAAGGGTTGGTTCAGGGGCTGCACCCTTAAGTAAGGAATTGATTGAGGCATTCAGAAGACAGTTTCCATGGGTGGAGCTAAGGCAAGGCTATGGGTTAACCGAAAGCTGTGGTACCGGCTCGGGTTTCCTGTCTGACGAGGACGCTAGAGCACACCCAAGATCATGTGGGTTGCTGTTGCCAACTTTTTGTGCTAAGGTGGTGGATATTGAAACAGGGTTGGCTTTGTCACCAAACAAGGAAGGAGAGGTTTGGTTAAAAAGTCCTACAATTATGAAAGGGTATTTAGGAAATGAGGAAGCAACGGCAGCAACAATAGATAAAGATGGGTGGCTTAAAACTGGGGATCTTGGTTACTTTGATGAGGATGGTTTTCTTTATATTGTTGATAGGATAAAGGAACTTATCAAGCATAACGGGTATCAGGTATCTTAATAATACTAGTTCAAACCCTCAATGCATTTTCAAAAACAAATTGATCTTGATTAATTTTTCCAAAAAAAAAATAAAAATCATGCAGGTGGCTCCAGCAGAATTGGAGGCAGTGCTTTTAGGCCATTCCAATATCCTGGACGCAGCAGTTATACCGTGCGTACCCTTAGCGAATTAGGTGCCGTTTGGCACCACGGTGCAGTGCAATGGAGAGCCCTCCCTACTGACCACTGCACTGCACCCACTATTTTTTGTTGGACTCATCTCCCATTGCACTGCACCGTGGATGTTGTGTGAATTTGTACTTGTATTTGACACTTTTTGATTTTGCAGGGTTGAAGATGAAGAATCAGGGCAGATACCGATGGCATATGTGGTGAAAGCAGCTGGTTCTGAACTCACTGAGGAAGAAGTCATTCACTTTGTAGCTGGCCAGGTTGGTATTTTTAGAACTCCATTATCTTCTTTACCCAAATGGCTTGCAAAATTGTATATGTACACCCGACGGTTAGAACTTGAAATTCCAATTTTCTAATCATAGGATAAGCATAAATAAAATAGATTTACTCCCATTAACAGAAGTTATTTGGTATGTATAAAATATGCAGGTGGCTCCTTACAAGAAAGTGAGAAGAGTGGGATTCATAAATGTTATCCCAAAGTCAGCAGCCGGCAAAATCTTGAGGAAGCAGCTGATTTTGCAAAGCCAACAGCAAATTCTCTCCAAATTGTAACTTTTATACTTCTGTCACATATTGTACTCGTTTACAAATGCTACAGAAATAATGACGAATTGCTACCTTGTTTTTTTTTTTTTTTTTTTTGGAATTTTTTGATGGTTTTTTCACTACGTTTCTTCAGCTAAAGCCCCAAAAACAAAGGGAAAAGAAACACGAATTTTTTTAGTAATTCATACCCCTCTTTAGGTGATAACCAAGAACCAATGTCCAGTGTTCGGCTGATCCAGAGGTTTTTCCCTGAATGTTCAAACAGGAAAAAATCTAAGAAATGAAAGAGAAGAGAAAAACGATACATGCTCAGAAAATTTATGCAAAATGTAATATGTTTATAGAAATTATTCTCTTGAAATTATATTGAGACAATCGAAATTACAATAACAGATACTTCGCATCAAGGAAAAGAGTCAAGATTAGAGATGGATTTTGCAGATTGGTGATCACAAGGGGCAAAGCGATCTATAATGTGCAAGAGATTCCTTGCATATCAATGAAACCTTGAGATTCAGTATAATTCCATCAATGGTACAGGGAAAAACAAAGAAAATCTAGTACAAAACTTGCCCAGTTTACCCGAGACAGAACAGCTACCATTGAATAACAAGGTTTAAAATTTAATATAATAAATAAATAAATTGCCCGCGCAACCTAGCTAGAAATAGAACAAGTTCATAAAGACTATATTTTTTGTGACCAGTTCAGAATCTATCTCCTCAAGAAAATTCTGTAATAGTCAAAACCTGAAAGTCCGCAAGCACTTATTAAGAACAGTAACCTAACACACGTAAACCATGCATGCAATCTAACTGTTCTTCAAGTAGATTGCACTCTGATATCTGCTGGGTTGGATCGTACCTACTCTGTTGCTTCAGAGATACTAGAGCAACTGACAATGGCATGATCCTTTTTTGCAAATGATACGCAACTTCTATGTGACTCCAGCTATCCACCGCCAAACACCACCAGAACCTTGCCTCTGGGTAGCTGAAAGCTCCATCTCCTGTTCCAGTGCCGACCTTTGTCTCCTAAGAATTTGCACTTCTTTTTCTATGGACTGTAATGATTCCAACATCTTCTGTAGTTCTGCAATTTGAGCCTGGATTTATACCCGTGTTAGATATTGAGTCGGTAAAGTTAAAAACAATAAGTTAAAAAGCTAGAATGAAATAAAATATATATATATATATATATATATATGAAAATTGGAAAACCTCTAGTTTAAAGCATCTTGATCTCTCAGATATCAGCTGACCTTGGACAGACTGGAGTACCTGATAGACAGCAGCAAATTAAATATACCAAAAACTTTTACACTGATTGGTGACAATCACCTTTATGAGTCACTTCAAGAACATACCTTGGATAATTCAGTATGATTACTATTTAATTCATCAATCTTGTCCTCAGCTTAGTGTTTTCTGCTCTGACTTCCTCAATTGACAACTCTAAGGCCTTTTTCTCTTCTTTAATTGCACCAATTTCAATATTCATATCCTTTCTAGGAACATTGTTTTCAACTCCGTTGAAGTTTAGATCTGTTATTTGTGGGAAATTCAACTTTTCAGACTTTGCCGAGGCATACGCAGCAGTAACAGAGCAGCTGCTGCAGCTGCTGCTGGGGATTGGAAAATCTTGGGATGAGATGAGTCCCTTAGTTTGAGTTTCATAACAAAAACCTATTAAGTAACAGACAACCGATAAAATATCAGGGAAAAGTAAAATGATGCATACTGGAATAGATTCAGCAATAGTACATCACGAAAATGATTTTATATAAACTGCTTTTAAACAATATACCTCGTTATTATATTTCCCATTGTATCCACCAAAGGCAACCAAATGCTTTTCCCCATTAATTAATGCTGAGCAAACACGTAGTCCCTACATTTCAAATGACAATTAGATTAGATCACATATAGCAAAAGTCTAAAAAGTTTCCTACAGAAATTCAGTCATACACAAAGTTAAATCATTTATATATGAAATTAAAGCATAAGACATAAAAGTATTAGATAAATAGCAAACATATGCTTCTTTGACAATGTTCATGAAACGATAAAATTAGATGATATTTTAGTCTGATAGAGCTTCTTGAAAAACAAGCCTGTTGATGGTATAATGAAGCTGAAATCAGAAACAAAATAAACTAGGCAAGATAAAAACTACAAAATTTACATTTTAGGAGCATTGAATACCCAACAGTGGAAATACCACATTTAGACATGGAGATTTAACTTCCCCCAGCGCAGTATGGATTATCATCAAAAGCTGCTTTAAAAGAAAAAGCTCAATCTGCAGCTGCATTCTAAAAATTTTGTCCAAGTAGAAGCTAAGCTAGAAATCACACATATACGGTATATTAAAGGCACAGAGTAGTAACCTCACTAGCAAGTGGATGCCTCTCCTTCAAAGTTGTCAATGTAGACCAAACTAACTTGGACATATTTAAGGCAAGAGTCTCCAGGCAACCTGTAAAGACAAAGTGAATTAGCACCTAAATTTCAACATAAATAAGATGACAAGAAAGATTACCACGTACCATTGCTGTTATCTCCACCACCAACAATATACCACATGTCATCAATAGAAATGCCAGCATGACCTGCCCTAGGACTCGCTAAATACCCTGAATTTGTGGTTGGGACCACTCCATCTGCATGGCAATTCAGGTTCGACTCCAATAAATGAAACCATTCAAATTACTTAAGCAAAGCAATAAGTTTATTATAATATTAGAATAACCGTATCTCTAGCTGATTATCATTACAAAGTCTGCTTCACCAGCTGCAGTTCATATTTCTCTATGATGAAAAGAATAATCAAATCATAGAACTGGTACTAATTGCCAAGGAACATAATGCTCTATGCAGAATGACTTTAATATATTGAATGAAATGTAATAGTCAGAAGATATCCAGAACTAAGATCCAGATTTTTTTTCTTTTGAGATGAAAAAAATATACTTTATTAAGGCCAAGATAAAGGTAAAGATACTTGTCTGAAAAAGTTTCAGCATCTGTTGTGGAATTTATCTAGACTGTCTAGCCAGTTTAGGGCTGGACCAACTTTATGGAGAGTGTTGGGGATATCTTGGAAGAGTTCTTTGTGCCTAGCAAAATATATTTCTCTCACTTCAACAAGCACAATTGAGCACATATGTGAATAAGCAATCATCTTTACTCTTTTTAAGCTATGCCAAAATGGCAGTCAGATGATCTCAGGATGCCATGCTAGTAACAAACTTGTTTGATAAGCATTGCAAACATTAGTCATCATATGGAAAAATATGAGCACTTCCTCAAGAAAGAAAAAAATTGACAATTAACAGCATTCAACTCATACCAAAAAAATAAAAAAGAATATACAACCCCAAAACAAAAAAACACTTCCAACGTCTCTAAATCAAGAACATGAACATCATTCAGCAATTTCCTGCTCTTGTCTTCTCCACCAAACACTATCAGTTTAGAACCTAGCAGTGTCACAGAATGACCCGCACGAGCTACCTGGGACATAGCACAACAAACCAAATTCCCATAAGTGAAGACTCCTAGAATGGGGAAGAATGAATTCTACCCTTCTTAATGAACATATAACAAATGAAAATTAAAATTCAAATGAGGATAGAATAGAACAAATAGGCAAACCATAGAAGAACGGGCAAATTTTAAATATATATTAAAACAAAAAAAAAAAGCTCTAATAAAGTGAGTTACCGGAAATTTTCCTAAGGTCTCCATGACACCACAGACATGTGTCTCTAGATGGATGAAATGCAGTACAAGAAGTCCATTAACTATTATTAGATTCCAATGTGCAAAATGTTCATTTGCCACCAACCATTAAACAGAGCACTGGTCGTTAACTAGTACAGCTGTTATTGCACCAAAATGACAATTAGAAATACAAACCTACCATGGCATCAGAAGAATTCTTCAAATGCCCACCAAGAAGAAGAAGTTTATTTTCCCACTCAATCTGGAAAAATAAATAAATAAATAACTATTTATTCAAGTGCTTATTCAAAGTTTTGTTGAGTTACTACAAAAGTGAATTTAGTCAGGCAGAAAAGAATATATCTATCACGATGGTGTATCTGACGTCCTACCATACTGTGATCTGAAGTGCCCGGAAGAAATTCCCGTAAGTCACAGTCCTCTGATTTATCGGCATTAGGATCAATCTTCAGTTTCAGACTAGACCATGTCAAGCTTCTAAGATCAAATACCTGCAAAAGCAACCAAAGAGCACATTACAAACAAGAAAGCACTTCAATATGTATGAATTGAGGTCTGTACAAAACCTGGATATCAGACAGGAATCAACCATTACGACTGCCTCCAGTGATATATAGTTAATCATCAACCACTGCTGCAGCATGCTACAGTGAAGCCAAAAAAAATGATAAGTATCTAGCTATAGAATAATAGAAAAGGCAAAAAAAGCTAAGGGCTTAAAAGAAATTCGAATACTACAACAGCCTTATTAATGGTTAACAAACATGATCCAATAACCCAAAAGAGAGAAATATAAAATGAAACAACCAATATGATCTTGTGCATGCTTTACAATTTAAAAGCAAAACACCTTGTACCGAGCAGATGGTCGTGCACCAGAAACTGGGAGTGCTACCCATTGCTCATAGGTCAAATCTGAAGGCCAACTGCTGATATCCATGTCTTGTTTAACCTCTTCTGCTCCCATAACAGCTGTTTGTATGTCAGTCCAGTTCTTCAATTGCAAAATATAAACAATCATCTTAATCAAAGAGAGACTCAACTCATATCTCATAAGTTTCTAGGAAAAGGGAGTGGAGAGAAAATGAATTGAGTATAGTGATAGAATTTTATATCCTCTATATAAAAGTTGGTGTGACAGGAAAAACGACCTAACATGATTTAAAATTATGACCTAACATGATTCCTTTTTTTGCTTTCATACAGCCTGCCCCATAATTATGGGATATAAGGCTTAGTTTGTTGTTGTTGTTGAAAATAAAAGTCGGTGTGGCAGGAAAAACAGAAAGGAAAAAAATCACACTAACATAAAGATATCCATTCCATAGACAGCTTATATATATAGCTAAAAATATCTACTTATTAACAAATACAAAACATTTTAGTGCTTTAATAACCAAACTTGTCAAACTTAACTTGATAATACTATTTCTGTAGAATTCTAGCTATGATTATCTAGTTACAAACACCAATCTAATACAAAAAATTATATAGTATGGTAATTATGCTTGTTCAAAAGCAACTTGATTGAATCATTCCTTCTGAAAAATCTTCAACTGAACTGCAAATAAATCTACTATTCTACCTTTTAACTTGCAAATTTTGCCATACCATCAAAAATTTTCAAAGGAAAAATAAAGCATAAAATTGTTGTAACTAAATAATAAAATGCAGAAACAATGACCAATTCTAAATTCAAAGCTAAATCACGTACTCATTTATAATTCAGCTACCATATGATATTTCAATGTTATATATCCCCTGTTTGGTTGCAGAGAAAATGCAGGAAACCAGAATAACAGTAATTCATATATCTCCACTCAACTTAACCGGACTAATCTTGCTTGACTTAACCAAGTCAACACACTCCCATTTTCTTGGAAACAACAAAATTCAATTGCCTTTCTTTTCCTTCCATTTATCTCAGCAACCAAACAGAGTACTCCAAATTCGGCATTCATACGGAAATCTAAGATACAAATTTGAATCAAAACCTAAACTCTATAATGCATAAGACGAAAGGATTAAATTAAATTTACCTTTATTATGCAAAATTATGGGGAGAATAATTTAGAGCCGTTTGTTTCGGAGAATAAGATCTGAGAATATATTCAGGTATATGGAATCGGAGGAGGGAGGGCAATGCGGGGTGAGAACAGAGAGTGTTGATTCTCCGATAAGACGAAGAATCGAACAGCAGCCGTTGAGATCTAAATCTCTCAGCCTCGGGCGAAGTGTTCCTTTTTTTTTTTGTGTGGCGCCTACGTGTACTGCGGTGCAGACAGAAGCAAACTGTAAAGCTGGAGGTAGTCCGCAAGCCCGTGAGATAAGACGTGACTTAACCGTATGGGGCGTTTGATTTAAATGTGAATAAGTGGGGCATGGATTTTTACGTGATTCAATCAATGTTAATTATAAAAATATATGATTGGGTATATACCAATATCAATAACGTACTTAACATCACGTAAATTTAAAGGTCTTTAGTAAAAAAGATATCGGAGGTGTCATGAACTGGGTTACATCAAGGCAAGTTTGATCGAAACTTTTAAATTTTAAATCGATCCAATCCGTCCATTTAGTATATAAATAAATACTATTAAAATATTTTATATTAATATTTTAAATTAAAAATGAATAAAAATAATCATATATATATATATTATTATATGATAACATACTCAGATATCTATTAAGATTTATCATATCAATATTTATGTGAATAACTTTTTTATTTAAAGAGTATAGAATTGAATAATCTTAAATTTATTTAAATATCAAAATAATTTAAATTATAATTGTAAATTAAATTAATTTAGAGATAAATTTTTAATTAAAAAATTGAAAAATGAATTTTATCTTGATAATTTTAATTTTTTATTAGATAATTTTATTTTTTAAAATTATTTAATTTTGAAAATCCTTTGACATGTTTTAGAATTATAAAAAATAAATTTATCTGAATATTTCAAAAACTCATTATATATCTTTTATTTTAATTTGTATAAAAAAATTTATCTTTTAAAAAATTTACGTAAAACATTAAAAGTTCAAATAATCTTTTCATATCAAATCTCTAAATTATAGGATTTATATCTATCTCAACTCTAACCATCAATTTTATATTTAACAATAAACAAAAATTTTGATTTAATTTTTATCACTTATTATATATTTTTAATTTTGTTTGAATATCAATTTGAAAATTATATATTTAGTCCTAAATGTCATCCAATAATTATTCTATAAATTAAAAACTATAAATGCAATATGTTATATCATTTTTTTATTTTTTGGTTTGCAGTTTTTTAAAATTATATTGCTATTGTAATTTTTTTCTTTTTGATTTGCCTCTTTATTTCTTAAGATATATTCTATTATTATTGCAAATTTTTCTTGTAAAAATTAATTTTTTTTACACATCTTCTAATTTTTTTCATATTTTGTATAGTAATTTGAACAAGATTACAAAAGTGAAAAGTATGTCTATATTTTTTATTATTTAATTCATCTTTTAATAACATATATGTTTTTGTTCTTTCTAAGAAATATATGTAAATATTTTTATTTGATATAAATTTTAGGTGTATAAATATTATTCCAAGTAAAAATGATATAAAATAAAAAATGTCATTTTCTTCTTGCTTTTTTAAAAATTTTAATTTTTTATGATAAGTTAGTTAGATATAAAATTTTATATATATTACAAATTTGGAAATTTTGAATATAATTTTAAAAAATACTAATTTATATATATACATATAAAATAAATAAAATAATTCTGTGTATCACACAAATCGAAATCTAATTATATATATTTAACATAAAACAAATATAATACAAATATATAAATTATCAAATTTATAATTTTATGCAAGAAATAATTTTAATTTGAAAAATTGTACTTAAGAAAAATAAAAACAGAATAATAAAAAAAAATCCCTGTAGAACTTTTTCCAAGAGAATAGTTTTTTTGTAATAGTAAAAAAGGGTGGAGAAATGGTCACTATTTTCAATTTTCGTTCAAGGGCAAACGTTTAAGGATTATTGGTATCCCAACTTTTTTTTAAATATCTCAGCTTTTTTTTTTTTTTTATAAGTAAAATTATTTAATTAAAATTTTTCATAAACTTTCAAAAATTCATTTTTGAAAAGTCATAAACTTTTTCCCAAATAAACTTTTGAAAAATCATATAAATTTCTTAAAATGGATTTTTGAAAAGCTGAAGTAATGAAAATTTAAAAAAAATCAGAATTTTTTATTAATTAGTGTAACAAAAAATTTTATTATTCAAAATTATAAAATTTAAAATTAATAAAAATTTAATTTTATTATTTTGATTTTTTATAAATATAAAATTTAGATTTTTTTAATAAACATTTTTTCTTGATATTGATTATTAAAATTTTATAATAACTTTAACTAAATTGAATTTTTTGAAAGCATCTCTCCATCTATTTATTAAAATTAATTTTTTCAATTAACATATTAGATTTTGATAAAATCAAATAATATTAAATAGTATTACTTGGATAACTTTTAAAAATTTTAATATTCAGATATTGATCAAATCTAATTGTTTATTCATCATTTCTCATAACATAAAAGAGACAGAGTATTTAATTAAAGTTTTATAAAATTTTATTATTTTTTTAAAATTTAAAAATAAATTTTTTTTATTAAATTTATGATTTTTTTAATAATAATTTTTTTATTATATTAGTTAATAAATTTTATTTGTAATTTTTTAAAAAATTTCATCATCAAATATTTTCAAAAATTAATTTTTAAAAAATCATATAACTTTTCAAAAGTAAATTTTCAAAAATTTGTAAAAAAAATAATTAAATAATTTTACTTATAAGAAATAAAAAGAATTAGAATGCAAAGAGGAAAAATAAAAGTGCAAATACTGTCTCTCAAATCGATTATACATGACCAAGGAAAAATTAATGTGGGATTTAGTTCGTCTGCAACCACAAATGATGATGTTTTAGATCGGAGTGGTTTTGCTTTTAATTTAAAGTCAACCGTGATGATTCGTCAAATGCGACAGTTGTTTGGAAAAAAATGTAGACAATAGTTTCTGTTTGACACTTGACAGGATCCACGACAATAAATTTTTCTGTTAGTCGGCGCTTGCGCTGTGATGCTGTCAACCTCAGGTGAAAAAAAAATTCGAAAATTTTCAAATTCGAAATTATATTATTGATTTGATATAGTTAGTTTACTTTTTTTTTTATTTCGTTGGATTAAATTTGTATATTAAATATATATTATATTTAAATTAAATTTTAAAATGAGGATAAAAAATTTAAAAATTTTCAAATCAAATTATATATTTTTTAAATATTTATAAAATAAAATTAATATTTTTATATAAAAATTTATTTAAATATATTAAAATTTTATATTAAAATATTATATAAAAATTAAAAATCAATAAATCAAATCGATGAACTAATAAAATTTGATTCAATTTAGATTAAATAAAAATTTAATTCAGATTTAGATTAAATTTTAAAATTTTATAATATTATATAATATTTAAAAAAATCGAATCGAATTCGATTTGAATTATTATTATCTGTAATCAACATTAGATGATAAAATATTCATGTATATTTTATTAAATTAGAGAAATTAAATTATTAACATAATTTACTTTGAAATAATTTACATCAAAAAATAACAATTTACATAAAAATTATATTAAAATAATATATAAAATTATTTTTTAAATCATAAAATAAAGTTATAAATAATGACTAATCAAATACTGATTAATATATAATCTTGAAGTCTAAATTAAATATTAAAATTATATCATTAAAACAAAACGAATGATTATGCATTTGTCAACGCTATAATGCATTTGTTTCTAGCATAATTTGCAGACCAAAACAGTACCCAAAAAAAAATGACGACAAGTAGAATCTTGCAGAACAAAATTCTATATCATGAGCATGAAATTGATTCTCTGAATTTGACAGTGCATCTCCTAAGATAACACTGCCAAGGAACCATTCTGAAATTTCTGGCTACCCATTCAGTTCTTTTCTGTAAGAATTTGTTAACGTCTCTACCAAATTCTTACTCATCAAACACATATCTTGTGGGCTTCTATCAAACCCACCCATATTTTGTGGGCTTCTCTTCAAATCCATAGTTTTCAACTTAACCGACCAGACTGGTTCACCATGGGCAAAGAGAAAATACAAGAAGACAACTTGGTCCAAAAACTCCGAAAAATTAGCAAATCGACTCGCCAATTAGAGGGTTAGTACCGGAGCTTTGACTAAACTAACTTTGGCTGATTGACTAAACTTGCATTTCTCAGCTTTTACAAAAACACAATTCTCAGCTTTAACAGTATGTTCACAACTCTATTTGCAGATGTAAACAAATGATTTTAATAAACAAAGAGAAAGTTGAGAAAATCATCAAGAACAAAACTTTCTATTCGGACACCACATCAGCAGCTACAGTGTTCGAACGATCAATCCGTCCGTTCAAAATAGGAAACTAAGAGTACTCTATCTGCTGTCAAAAAATCAATCTGATCGGACCACGGATGATCTCCGATCGGCAACTTATCAAAATTGGGCAGCAGCTGTTCTGCTTTCTTTTCTCTAATTTTGTTTTTGGGGTGTTACTCTCCGAACTGCCTCGACCCACATAGAAAGGGGATTAAAAGCCCTTAAAATTCTGTTATCGATGAAAGGACTAAAATGTCCTTACGTCTCATGTGGGCTTTGGGCCATGTCCAAAAGTAAAAAACGCAAACCCAACCCAACAAAAGGGAAGCTGTGCCATCTGCCCAGGGTGTTCCTACCTGTCGAATTCCATGCCAGTGAATGATGCTTATTAGTGAGTTCAACAGCAAAGATGTCTCCGGCAACATAGGCAATAGAATGTACCAGGAAAAGAGCCCGGGGGAGCCCCAGGGAATTGAGGGAATGAAAGAGAATATTGCTAAATCTTTTATTGACAAAAGAAATTGTACTTTAGCAAAAGCTAGTAATTAAACAGTACTATTATCGAAAAAATGCAAAAAGCATTTTCCCAAGCTTTGAAAAAAAAAAAGCAAAGCAGAGAAATAGTTCATATATACAGCGCATGACACCCTTACATAAGGCATTCTTAATTTTTAAACGTTTTATCAAGCTTACTGCTGTCTCACTGTAATTCGGTATTCGCCGTCTTGTTCGGAAAAAGTGACCGCTGCGCCGATAACGGATCCAGCAAAAAGTCTCCACTCTCGACTTCTGAAGCAGAACGAACCACCTTGACTCGTGCACTCAAAGTTCCACGAGTCAGACGCGTCCGTAAACGTCAAAACATTATTACCATCCGGAAGTGTATTGCCACCACAAGAAGAACTCAAACTTGCTTGATGGTGTTCTTGAAGAATCACCTCTAGGATCTTCACCATTTCTGCAGCTCCCCAAATAGAACGTTTCACAAAATTTTAGCCCTTAGAAGATTGTAATCTATTGCACTTAATGATCAAGCTCTCTGTGTGGTGATAGTTTATCTCCCTCCATTGATGGGCTTATATAGAGGCATTCAGCTTTAACGTCGAGCAGACAAATAAAAAAAATTAAAATGATGTCATCGCGAGAAAAAGCTTCGCGAGAAAACTTGCAGACAAATAAAAAAAATTAAAATGATATTATCGGCAGAAAAAGCTTTGCGAGAAAACTTGCAAACTTGCGTGCAAACTTGCTTGATGGTGTTTTTGAAGAATCACCTCTAGGATCTTCACCATTTCTGCAGCTTCCCAAATAGAACGTTTCACAAACTTTTAGCCCTTAGAAGATTGTAATCTATTGCACTTAATGATCAAGCTCTCTGTGTGGTGATAGTTTATCTCCCTCCATTGATGGGCTTATATAGAGGCATTCAGCTTTAACGTCGAGAAAATGATGTCATCGCGAGAAAAAGCTTCGCGAGAAAACTTGCAGACAAATAAAAAAAATTAAAATGATGTCATCGCGAGAAAAAGCTTTGCGAGAAAACTTGCAGACAAATAAAAAAAATTAAAATGATATTATCGGCAGAAAAAGCTTTGCGAGAAAACTTGCAAACTTGTGTGCATGTAAAGTACGACGTCCAACAGCATTGACGTCATCATCGGTCGTTTTAGTTAGAAATTATATCCTTTTGAAATTGCCACAACCATCCATGATTTAAGCTTCTGGCTTGCATAGTCAAATGGTTATTTTCATGCACGCTTTTGTCTTCCACCTGACCCAAAGTAACAAACCAAATTCACATATACCGAACCAATCAGCGGAATAATAAACCCTTTGATTGGAGTGATATATTTTTCTCATTGCTTTGAGATATCCCTCCATAGTCGACGCCCATTCTTCCTATCTCTTTCTCTTATCATCTTCTTTGATTTTTTTTAATGCATACATCTGTTAAAATAAACTACTTTCTCAGCTCTCATAAACACCTTCTCATAAGCCTCTATTTTTCCTATTAGAGGACTTCCGTGGGAGTATAATCTAATTTCTTTTTGGAACACCGCTTTTGATTAGTCCTTGATTTTTATTCAATGACAAATGCAATCGAATCTTTTTTTTTTTTTTTCTTATGCCAGTCTTTGATAAGCAAGAGGAATTTATGGGTCAGGTGAATTGAAGAAACTTACAAAATTGAGTGTTTGAGGCACATAATTTTACAACAAAATTTTAAGAATATTGGTCAATGATATTATTAATTTCACTTTTATTTAAACAACTCACTTTTTTCCACTAAAACAAACTCAATTAACATAAACAACTTTAAAACAACTCGAGCGTTTATGTAATTTAATACATTGGAATTCATGAAATTAATTTTATTTAATATAATTTTAACAAATATTTTCCTTTTTAAAGACATTCGTTAACTTTTTTTTTTGAAAATTTATTCCAACAGTAGACTGGTGATTATACTAAATATATATTTTTTAAAAAATTTATTCATTGGATTCAATCAAATAGTATAATAAATTTGTGATTATCAACGTACGTAAGATTTTCTTTTCTAGCTCTTTTTTTTTTTCCTTGCAGTCTTTCAATTTCTTATTGTGTACGTAAGATTTTCTTTTCTAACCTTTTTTTGTTCTTCTGTCTTACTGTCGAAATCATCAATTTGGTATGTTTCGTTTGTCTCAACTCTATAAATTTCCAGGATTATTTATGGTTGCAGTGCGTCCAAAACCAAGAAATAGTACTGGGCATTAACCAAAGTCTTAGCAAGCAAAAAATGTTGGTTAAAAAGTCAAAAACACCGTGCCACTATAATATTCAAAGAACTTATATTTATTTCTGTCCACTCCCTCCCTCAGAAACCACCTCGATTTACTGTTTTTAATATTAAACAAAATTGCAAGTGTTTAAGTTGATAAGAATTAGTTTCAAGTGGATAGTCTAAATATTCAAACGAATAACGATTTACTGTTGTCAATCTTAGGTGTCTCCAAGTTGTTTGAACAAATGAGGAAAGAGATGCAATCATCAATAATCAAAGGGGTAATATTAGGAATGGCAAACTGTAATGAAATATTTATTATAATATTTAAATTTAAAATTTTTTAATATAATAAATTATTTATTTATCACATGTCATCCATTGAAATTAATCACATTAAAATTAAATAAAATATTAATTAATAAATTTATAAGTCAAATATCATATTAAAAATTTTTAAAATTTAATCATCACATTTTAAACATTTCAGTATAATTCAAATATCATTAATAATATTAGCCCATAAACAAAATTTCCAATTCAAAATGGCATAAATTTGATGTAAAAAAAAAGGGTACGCTCTCAAAATTATAATTCAGATATATATTAATGAAGCAGCCTACAAGATCATATACCACAGAAGTAAACAACAGCTAGCTGTTACAATTATATAACCAAAAGAAATTAAGCTACTTCGAATTCTCAGTCAAGCAATGATAGAGCCTATTCCAACATCTTTTTCCTTCTTTTTTTTAATTAATAAATTTAGTCTGTATGTTCCAAAGAATACCTAATAAGAGCTCTGCTTGATAAAAATTTCCCGTTCTTGCTGCGACCGTCATACTCTCAGCTTTGTCAACTCATAGTGTGCCAATCAATGTGTATATGCTTCTAGTCAAACTATATGAGGAAGTTGTGATCGGTCCCATCAAAAGACTCAACAAGAATGGTTCTGATAACTGCTAAAACTAATCCATCACCCTCCCATTGGCGTATGCTACCTTCTGCATTATCATGGACTCAGCTTGATGGATTGCTCTCTGTGATCCCGTGATTGTGACTTTCCTGCCACACAAGGTAAAGATAGAAAAGGATTTTAAGAGAAAATTACCTCAGTGCTCAATGCTTAGGTAGAAGATTGATAAAACTGGGGTTATTATACCTATCAGTTGTTCCAGACATGAAATCGCCTCTATCCGATATTTTTATCCTTGCACCGCTTACCTGCAATGACAAAGTGCTCAAATTCAGAATATAAGCAAAATTATGGAGCCAAATGGTATCTATTTATCACTTATAAACCTGACTAATTTCTGCGATATTCCTTCCACCACGACCAAGAACCAGCCCAATATGCCCATCTGAAACACCAATCGTGACAGAGTTGCTATGATCCTCCTGGATAGATACATGAAAGACTTATGTCAAGCAAGACCTTTTTAACTACAGTATACAGATATGCATGAGTCCTTTAATTAAGAACATCAGTCATCACTTGTTACATGAATAATAGGGTTTAGGGAGATATTAAAAATGGGTCCAACACTGGAAATGCTGCGATACAACAATGCGAGAAGAAATATGATAGAATTTGGCAGAATAAAGAACTATTTTATGTGTCAGCAAAAATCAAATGAAACAAGTATATGACTGACCTCTATATGGATGCTTAAGTAAGACAAACAAATTAATATATTTTGCTTAGCAGTAAACAAAGTGTAAATAGCATCAGTCCCCAGACGTTACAGATAAGGCACAATAGAAAAAGATGAACCTTGTGATTCTGAAACTTCCCTCCAGCCCCATTTGCTGCATAGCTCATTGAATTGTAAGTCGCTGTTGCAACAGAAGGAAGCACATATGCATATGGAATACCATGAAAACCAGAGAAGAAAATACCTAAAATTTCAAGTTAAAGAAATCTTACTAGGACCAAATTAAAGAAATTTTACAAGTAATATACAGTAACAACTCCACAAAGGACATAATACCAAGATAAATAACAATCACACGTAAAGGACAACTCACATCATAAATTCAAAACCATTAATAATAGGACTACTTGACAACAACTGAAAATGTCATTACAACATTCCAAAAAAGGCCCCTTCCAAGGAAGTGAACCACTGAAATCTAAAGACTATGCTGTAATGACTTCATGCTTTAATGTAGAAAATTGAATGAGGCAACATGCTTTTTTGGCCACATTTTTTTAAGACTATGCTTACTTCCAAACATTAGACCACCATCAAGAGAAATCTGCAATCATTATGTAGTTTGAAAAATTACATAGGCACAGCACCTTTCAACTTGTTGTCTTCGGATATGCCCATTTGCTTTAAGGTTTGTGAGATCAGACTAAATGGCTCAGGTACAATGAAAAACAATATGAGAATAGTTCTCTAAGCATTCAGCCTAGGAAAAAACCTTTGCCAGAAAATACATATAAAGGCAAAAGCGTGCTGAAAACATCAGAAAATGAGTTTGAAGACTTCTGTCAAAAAATGTGTTTTCTCCCCAAAAAAAAAAAGTTAGAAACACTTTGAGCTAACAGATAAGTTTAAATGTTTAAGTTCATAGCACAGCTAAAAAACTTTAATGAGATAGAAGACTTCTGTTGGGCTTGGGCCTAGTGGTAGTAGATGGAATAGTCTACAAATGATTATCATGGATAAAAGAAAATGTGTGTTTTTTCTGCCCCTGAAAAAATAGTTTGAAACACATCGTGCTGATTAGCTAAGTTTTAACATTTAGCTTCAGAGCACAGTTAAAAAGCCCTCTTTGACAAATATGAAATGTTAGTAAACAACATATCAGGATTATGATATAACTGCTAAGGAGGCAAGATAATGGATGATATAAAAAGCAATAGTAGTGTTCATAAAGCGGAGGCATGCAATTCAAATGTAGGAGTCTCCTTAGACTCAGTAGCCAAATAAAAAGAGGACTCACCTGCATATGAAAATGGGGTATGCATAGCTTGTGAGTAATGAGGGTCTTCACAAAGCTTGGACAGAATCAAATCAATTGCTCGCATCTGCTCGTCTAGAGTGCCAGTAAGTGTCACTAGCCTATCGTTTAAGCCATAAAAATTATTATCCTGTGGAGATATCTTAATGCCTGCTTGGGAGTCTTCAATAAATGACCTATAGAAGGGCAAAATAACAATCAAGACATCAAGACATGTCTTATCTGTTTAAGGCATCCGATACTCAAACAAGGGATCAATAATACTTCAATAGTAACTGATCACACACCACAAGCATATAACATAAGCCAGTTTTAAACAATCATTTTATGAGTGCGCGTGTGCGTATTGTTTCTCATTTCCTCTAATGCATAAACAAGAAAGGATCATGCTCACAGTGATGGTGTTCTTATAAGGTACGGAGGGTGTTAAGGATATATGAGCTTTAAATAACCAATTATAACTTACTTGCATGGCTCAAGCCATAAGTAGTTGCTATAATCACTAGGGGAAGCAGTCATACTTCCTGGATCAGAATGGCTTCTTAGTCAAATCGTGCTCACTTATGTTGAGGTAGATAACTGAAGAAAACTACAGGCTGTTAACACTACTATATACTTGCATGGAGGTTACTTTTAGGAGGTCCATCTTGAAAAACATGTCCTCAGTCTATTTAACACCCTTGCACCAAATCTAGTTTTAAGGGACAATAACAACATCCAATTGTTTATTTTCCATAATTCTAAAATGATATCTAAGCTCAGGTAAAGCCCAAGGTACTTCAATTGAAAAACGAAGCCAGAAAAAGCAGAATATGTGCAGTTCAGACACTGATGCCTGCTAGACCTTCATTTTAGAAAGCATTCTTCTGAGAAACCTTAAGTCCACATGTTTAAATATTATAATGAAACCAAAAGGCAATGACCAAAGATGCTCTTCTCCAAACAAATGACCTCAAGTTTTCAATCTTTACTAACCATTTATAAAATAAAATTACTTGCAACTTTCATCCAAGTCACAAGACTTACCACGATCTAGAGTGAACCTTGGTCAAACAGGTCTTCTACAAATGAAACCTCTGGCAACTTACCACATATTGCCAAATATACCCGAACTAATTCATTTCCTAAAGCCATCACCATCTACTTAGAGCATAAGCAGGTTACCAATAGACAAGACAAGAAATGAAGTAACTCACTATGATGCATCAATATCATGGCTATGGTAATCTTTACTAAGTTTATTCCTATCTCAAAGTAATTCTCCTTCCAAACCCCAGTCTCCCCAGTTAGCTCTCAAATTCATCGAATACAGCTCTTAGTATTTGAAGTTGACAAAGCATCCCCCACTCAGTTGGGCAATATAACTTTTGTTGCACACACTGTCATACATGAATCAATTCCAAAATATGTAGTTCTTTCACTACTCATGCCTATCTGAATATCCTATAAATCAACCATAGGCTAAATTTTTTACAAAGATTATCCCCTGCAGATGAACAGCATAATTGAAGAATAAAAAAACACTCTTTATAAATACGCCTGTTCGGTATACTTCGGTTAAGTCAACACTACAAAAAATTATAAAATTCAAGTTAAAACAATTTCTTTGATTTCAAACCTGCAAAAAATCATTTGTTTCACAGGTGAATTTTCAAAATCATAGCAACAAAAACATGTACAATGGTCAGAGTATCCAAGAAGACTTCTTACTTTATGGTAGCCCCTCCTTTCCCAATTATGCTGCCACAAGAGCTATTAGGAACAACTAGCCTCACTTTAGTTCTTGGTTCAACATCATCACTATCTTCAATATTAAGCTGACCAAGAATATAAACTTAAGTTATTATCTAAAGACAGAATTTATAGAGTTAAAAGTCATCATAAAGATCACCTCATTCAATAATTTAGCAAGGATAAGTTCCATAGCTTTGAGTACTTCATCAATTGTTCCAGAGACCATAATGATCCTGTCTGATGTTCCCGGGAAAAATTCATGATTGCGTGACAACTGAATTCGAGCTCCTGATTTTGACTGAAATTCTGTAATTGTTGAACCTCCCTTTCCAATTACAGAACCAGCAGCAGCATTGGAGACAAGAAACTTGATATGTGTAGGCTTCTCTGCATTTTCTGACAGAAGAAGCATGAGTGAAAATTTCATCATTTAGCTCTAAATCATAAAGGCATTTGTAGTCAATGAGGAATTTTGGAAGAAAACATGAAAATTCCAACCATTAGAGCAATCTCCTCCCTTTTGGCCCAAAGAAGAGATAACAAATAAGGGAAAAAAAACTACTATAAGAAAAAGAAATAGATGCTAAAAAAAGTCACTTGACTCAATATGTTATTGCTAATACAGAAAAGATTGTAATAAATGCATTAAATAAAAACAGCATAAATGCAGTAGTTTCAGTGCAAAAGTATTGCATATTAAGATATGCCACCTTACATTTTGATAATATTTCAAATCTAACATTGTTGACCCACACATATGGGAGAAGTAGAAAATATAATCTTAAGGAAAGGTAATATCAGACTTGCATTACTTACATTTTTCAATTAATGCAAGTTTTATCAACACTTGGCTACGGATTGATTACTCAATAACCAAGCAACTCAGAATACTAAAAATCCTCCATATTCTCATTATAAAACAACTTAGATCCCTCTCGTCCCATCACTTTACATTTAAAAACCAAGGGAGAACCACTGGAGTAGATAATAATTGTTAAAGGACAGACAATAAACTCGGGGAACATGGCTCAGCGAAAAATGCAGGAATTTGAAAGATTGAGCCCAAGCTTGTATTGAAATAAACTTGATGGACTATTTTACTATAAGTATAGCTTCTACGAATAATCAATGACTTAAATGATGTCTTCAAAGATATGAGAACCAATAAAACATTTAATATAGGCCTTTCCAGTTTCCATCGATAACTCCAATCTTAGTACTTCAAACCTGGGACTGACAGAAATTTGCACACAAAGATACCAAGAACAAATCCATAAAAACTGCCATTGCACTACATGCATGCAAGAAGGAAAGGAAGGGAAGACAGCAAAACAATGTGTTACATTCACCGGGGCTAACAAACTAGAAAATACTAGATGTTTAGGCATGACTAAAGTCTTCAATCTGAGCTTCATCGTAAAATAAAATGAAGAAAAGTTCACTCCAGTAGTTTCTTTTCCTCCCCTTGCTAAGCATCCGCTTTTAAAATCTAGGAAATAAAACTCCAAAGTCAAAGAAATCAATTCCCTCCAATCTGCTTGGACAACAATATAAGATTTCTCATTTTCAGAATTCAATTACATTATGCCCTCCAAGAGCATTCTCATTAATGTCTAATAGACAAGCTAACTGATTTTTAATCCCACACTGTAACTAACAATTCAAAAGATAGGTCTTCATTTTATTTCGCAGCTATTTTTTCTTAATCCTCATTAATGCCCTCGCAGCATTGTTCACCTCAGTGTCAATCCAGCTTTTCACAGTTATTATACAAATACAAAAGCAGATAAAAAGATAATGCCACATGAAATTCCAGGATTTCTCATCCTTCTGCTTCTTGACTTTTTAGGGCATTCAAGCATAAGCTAAAGACTCAGCACAAATTCTTCTTTTTCTCACTCTCCATTTTTTATTTCTCGCCAACCCAACACAATGCTAGGGTTAGGGTTTCAAATTCTATATTAAAATATATAAATATATAAACGAAATAAACAACAAGATATTCAAACAATTTCACATATTAATCTTTACATTACCAAAAAAAAAAAAAAGAAAAGATTTAATGCCATTGACTCATAAGCAGAGAACAAAAAGGAAAAAGAAAAAAACTCAATAAAGAAGAGCTTCAACGAAGAAGAAAGAAGATCAGATCAGAAATTACCAGAACCAGACGATTGGGGCGGCGGCGGAGATCTCTTCCTCGCAGCCTCTGGTGATGACACATAAGACGACTCTGTCGACTCCATTTCTCTATTCTTCTAAACCAAAACCAAAAATATAAATAAAAACATTAAAAAGAACAACATCACTACATGAATAAATGCAGGGCCTAAGCAAATTAATCAAAAATTTCCCCTAATTAATGTAGAATGTTAAACAAACAATTAAAAAATAGATTCATACATTTTCTCAAAATTTCCTCTTTATTTTTTCCTTTCAGTTCACAGCTTTTTTCTTCTCTTCGGTCTGAGCTGAAGGCTGATTTTTTTTTCTTTTTTTTCTTTGTTATCGATTGATCGTTCACTGGCTCTAGGCTCGGTTGGGTTTTTTATTTTAATTATTTATATTTTTAATTTAATTAAAACGTCGATACCGCCTAATTTGTAAACATTAATAATATTTTTTGGGCCAGTAAAACATTAATAATATTTAATTAGGGATCGGTGAAAGGGAGGTGAGGGGCGACCCCACAAGGTTGCGACCACGCTAACCGTGGCTAACCTGTCAAGATCTTCTCTGCCAAGCTGGTGTATCCCCCACCCCCTTCCCATGTGAATTTTCGGACCGTTGAATTTTAGTTTATAATAATTAATTAATCATAATTTGAGATTAATTTTTTTTTAAACCTTTTTTGGGTGTACATTTAATGCTGGTTTGGAATTTTTCAATGCCCAACTTGTTTGAATGATAAAAGAGAGTGAAAGCGTTGAGAAGTGAGATCTGGATTGAATTGTTTTTTTGTCAAAATAATTTTAAAATATTATATTATTTTGTAAATTTTAACATAGGTGAATGTTAATATAATTAAATTTTTAATAACAATAATTCATTAGTTTTAATAATAAAATAAAATCAAAATCAAATATAATAATTATTTATAAATTGTATAATTTAGATCATGAACATATTTATATATTTAGGAAAAATAAAATATGTTTATTTTTATTCTTTTAAAAATGACCATAAATACTTTAAATGTCCATTTAGATCCCGTCCGCGAACACTTCCATCCAAATTAGATTTTATTGAACCGAAATAATAGTTAGACTCAAGTAAAAAAATTTACCATAATTTGATGGCTTCCTTTGGTGTTATGCAGAAAAGAAGATCGGTTTGGAGTTGCTGGGCCGAGGCCTAATGCTTGCTTCTTTTAATGGTCCAGTTTCTAATTATTGTCCGGGTCCAATTCTTAATTCCCATTCCCTAATATTCGGAAAATTTTCGAATAAAACCAAAAAATACTATTTTCTAAACCGTGTAAAGGGCCCCAAATAGAGATTTGAAAACATCGCGCGAAATCAAGAACAAGTTTAAAAGAAAAAATGAAAAAAAAAAAAACTGCTAAAATTCCCAAACAGTCCCTATACTATACTTCAAATCTCCAAATCTAGAAAGCTAGAAAAGAAAAGAAAAAAAAGACCAAAATATTTTTGCCAACTAATTTTCAATTTTTTTTTTTTGTGATTTCTAAGGTTTAGGGGTTAGCAATGGCGAAGATGGAGAAATCTGTATTAGCAAAAGATAATATGTTCGAATTCGAAGAAGAAAATATAGTCAACGAAAGAGAGAACAGCCAACAGTCAGCTGAAGAAACAATCTTACTTGTTCAGAAAAAGCTGCATCAACTGGAGTTCGAGAATGTTAGCATTTTTCTTTACCCTAATTTTAAGCTTATCACTTTTTTTTTCCTTTTTTCTTTTGGAGCAAATTTAATGTGGTTTTGGTCTTTTAGCTTGCTTTAGATATGAACTGATAGATTTTAATGCTAGAATGAGTTGAAATTGCTAAGCAATTATCTTTCTTTTTTCTCTGTTTGACATTTCTAATTGAAAATAGTTAAATGCAAAGTGATAAATTGATATTAGAGACTTAGAATTGAACTAATGTATCATACCTATAAACAAATTTTGATTATCAATTGTTGAAGGATGAAAATTGTATAATGATTTCTAATTAAAATTACCCATTTAAATAAAGTTTTAAAGATTTTCAAGATTTCAAAATTTCAAAATTTTTGCTTGTATGATCTTTTTAACAAGGTCCATGAATCCTTTGATTTTCAATTTTAGTTTTCCTTACTATTTCACCAGGAATATCGCTAACTGCACCTAAGACTTAATACTTGCTCATACCTATTTATTGACTCTTGATTTTTAGCTAAAATAATTTCTTAAAGGAAAACAAAATATAAGAAAAAATATTTGAAATTCCTAAACTTACATAGAGAAACTAATAAGAGATGAACTCAAACTTTAAAAAACCCGGAAGTTTTAGTGAATGGGACTGAAAATGCTTTGGAATGAAGGAACTAGAAATAGAAAATCTGATTTTACTTATATTAAATTGCAGTCTTTTGTTCATTCTATCTTTTAGATTGACAATTATTTGATTGTAAAGGGGTTTTCTAGGACAAAAAAAAATGGTTCTCTAGGACAGACAAAGTAATAAACTGCTAATTTTTTTGTTTATTCTCTTTGCAGGTTGATAAAAAGCAAAACTGCAATATTGAAAATTTACACGTTATAGGAGTTGATCTTTTGTCAAAGATTCAGAATCTTGATAATGGATTTGCTCGTGCCTTTACAGAATCCAGGATTTCTGAATTGCCTGTTGGCAACATTGAAATGTCCAAACTATTTGCTGAGTTGATTGAACGGATTCAACTTTGTTTAGCCGAGTTAAAGCAACTGTCTACTCTTTCTTCATGTGCAAATCCTAGAGGAACTTGTGCATATGATGATTTGGAAATTTTGAAAAGTTCTGATTTGATTAGTCAAAAGCAACAGTTAAGTTCTCCTAATCAAGAAGATAGTCATCTGGTAAAGGAATTGTCAACAAAATTATTCGAGATAGAGAAGCTTAAATCTGACAATTTGCACAAGGAAAATGAACTTGAGGCTTTAAGGCATCGCCAAAAAGAGTTAGAAACTCAGATTTGTTCTGTTGAGAAGGAGAAAAGCCAGTTGGAGGAAAATATGGAAATCATGCGGAGAGAAGTTGTTGTTACAGCTAAATTCTTGGATGATTTACGAAGTGAAATGATGGAACTTAATAGCAATAGGGATTGCCAAATTTCTGCCAACAAAATTCTCGCAAAGAAATATTCAGAACTTGAAAATGGGAAGCAGGAAGTGGAAGTTTATTTATCTGAAGTAGAAGAAGAAAACTTACTTTTATCAGAACGGTTATGTGGTTTAGAAGAAAACTTAATCTATCTAACTGATGAGAGAGAGTCATGTTATATGGATCTACAAAACTCAGAGTCTGAACTGATGAATTCCAAAGATGAGATAATAAGAAGGTTGGAAGATGAAATGGAGGTACAAAAAGTTGTTATGAGACAAAAGATGGAAGAGATGCATAGGCAATGGCTAGAAGTTCAAGAGGAGTGTGAGTATCTAAAAATTGAAAATTTCAAACTGATTGAAGAGTGTAGTATGCTTCAGAAAGCAAATGGACAACTAAGGATGCAAAAGATGGAGTTAAATGAGCACTGTATAGTCTTGGAAGCAGATTTGGAAGAATCAGGAAAAGTTTTTTCTAATATGCTTAACAAGGTTGATAACCTCCAAAGAGAGAACCAACTGTTGGAAGAGGAAATTTTGGCTCAATTGCAGAAAAAAGCACTCCTGCAGGATGCAATTTTAGCTCTTAAAGAAACAATTAGTGAAATCAAGTTTGAAAATGAAATGCTGGAAGCTTCTTTTGTGATGCTATCAAGAGACTATGAAGAACTTGAGGCCGAATTATCGTTATCTGTTCAGAAATTCTTTAATAGTTGCTGCTGTGGGAAAGTTGCCCTTGAAGATGCCTTGGGAACTCAGGAGGCTTTGCTGAAAAGTGATCTGGCAGACATACAGGTTAATGTTGCTATAATTTTTCCAATTCCTGCTATTTGATAATAATCTTTAACATTATGCAACCATTTGTTTACAAAGAGTCTCTATGACAGAGAAGTAATAAGTTGCTCAAACAACTCATCTCTCTTTTTATTTCAGGCTAATAACCAGCAAAACTGCAATACTGAATGTCCTCATTTTATAGGAGTTGAGTTTGCGGAAGCTTTAGAGGCAAATGACATGTACAAGGCCCAGCTTACAAGGTGCGTACAATTGGTATATTTCTTGATCTAAAAGATTAGAGTTAGTTGTCTTCATAAACCTAACATCTGAAATGGGGTTTTTAGTTCTTACATTTTAATAAACAATTGATTATCAATTAAAATTTTTTATGTTTCATTCTTTTGTTTTCTGATAAAGTTATAGTTCTGTCTAATGAACTTGTGTCATCTGAGTGACATGATAGCAAGCAGTTACTTGCCACAGCTTGTAGTCAAAATCAGAAATCTGTATTAAGTCCAACCTTAGGATGCTTTTCAGGTGAGTTTGATAAGAAGGCCTCTATAAAAGATCCAAACCTAATTGATGGGCTCTTTTAGCAAATATTTTGCTGGTTTAGGATGATAATTACACATCTTATTCCATGAGCTTGGAAAACTGCACTAAGATACTAAACCCTAATATAACAATGAAATACCAAATATAACCCTAGATCTATAATATATTACAATTAAGCTCCAAAAATATAACAAAGTAACAAAATAAAATCTTAAATAGGTTAATCCCTCAATTAGCTTCTTATGGTGCTCTGCATCAACAAGATAAAAGAAAAGATGGAATAGGTGTTTTTGGCAGAGCTTTGATTTTGCTTTTGCAACCTGAAACTTTAGATAAATTTCTCTCTACCCCTCTATTCTTTGTTGAATTTTGACATCTGGATTTTTTATGTCATCATGCACCATAGCAGGTATGGTTGTATATACACTAATTCTAATCCGTAATTTCCTCTTGTGGCTGGAATTATAGGCTAGCCATAAAAAGTCTTGGGTGAGGTCCGTTTGTTAAAACTTGAAACTATTACCATGCTTCTGGTTTGCTTTGGCCAGCTAGAAAATGGTAGGGGAAAGAAATAAATAATAATCATTGTACCTATATAACTGTCAAAGTAAGTCATTAAACTGGCAGGCTTAATTGTGTTCAATAAATAGTCTTATACATGCTTGATTTTTCCTTGGCACATTCTTAAAAAAAAGTGTACCAGTTTAATAGAATTTTAGAATAAATAAGACATAAGATTCTTTCGCTGTGTATGAATGCTAACAATCTTTGTAAATTTGGCTTGTATTCAGTTTGTTGTCAAAGGAAGTAAGCATTCATTTAGATGTTCCCGAGAAGTTAACAGGTGAAGGAGCTGCAGCAAAAGACAGATGTGAATGCAAGGTATCAACGCTTGAGATAGAGATGAGTGGAAGGTATCAAATATGCTGAGGTAGAAGCTGATTGAGAGCGACTTATGGTGGAGCTCAAGGTGTTAAAATTATAGAAAAATTATAGAAGAAGCCGGCTTTCAGAATCTCAGGTAACTTAGGTTATATCAGTCATCGATGCTGCCCCAACACTAAAAACCTTTTTTTCACGTTTTTTTTCCAATTGTTTTATACATCTTCTGTTAAGCAAAACAGTGACATATTTATCATTCTTCCTACTTGGGGGGCATGCCGGCCTGTGCAAAAATTGTAGATTTTTCTGGTTAAGGGCTAATTGTAACATTGCTACCTTTATACTAAATGTATACTAATGTTTCCTGTGGGTAGTTTACCAGTAAATTAAAATAGTAAGCCATGATGTTACAGATTGAGTAGTCATTGTGAACTTGCTCTACATTCATCCTTCCTAACCTTATTGTGTATTCTGAACTTAGAATTGCTGCATAAGCTTTATGATCACTTTGGATTATTGGAAGTGAGGAAGTTAGATCCTTAATGCATTCTCAGTTTTTATGAAATTTTATATCTCAAGTTGCCTTTCAAGCTTTTATGATCACTTTTAAGTGGAAGGGTTTTTGCACTTTGCCTAGTACATTATCTTTTTCGGAGAGGTCCAAGCATGTTTATTTATTTTGGGTTTAGTGAATTCATGAAAAATTACTTTCAGCCTCGTAACGGATTTAAATCCATACATCCAAAAGAAGAGTACGTTCCATTTATCACTTGGGTCAATCAAATTCACTTTGCTTTGCTTAAAGTGGAGTTTTAGTCCTTGCTCTTCTTTTCATAAAAGGGACAATTAAATTTGTTACACTTAATACTTTACTAACATTGTAAATCAAACTAGCTTAAGCTTCTTCGTATAAAATTTTGTTGCTTGCTTTTAACTTTTTTAATAAAAGGTAAATACAAAATAAAAAGCAAAAAAGGTCAAGCAAATAGCAAAGTCAAGCCCAGCCTGATTAATGTGAAGGAAGTAGAAAATTCTTGGGCCCTCAATTCTTTACAAAGATCAGACCCAAAATCAAGTTGGTGGGAACGTCGTTGGATAAGCAAAAGCCTAAAGTGTTGAATGCATTGTTTTAAGGTAGAGAGCTGGATGCTCGTTAAAACAATATTTTGAATAAGGCCCAAAGGAAGGTGAGATTTTTGTATATTTGATTTTAAGTTGTTATTGAAAAAGTTAACAGAACAAAGCTTCATCTTATCTAAGCCTAATAATTAGCTCACTTGTAAAGTTTTGAGTTATTAATTATAATAGTGAATCGAGATTTAAAAACCCATGTATTTATATTTTTTATACAGAATTGTAATTTAAAAATAAAAGAACAAAATTGCATGCATTATGATTTTTATAGTGGTATTAAGCTCGATTAAAGAGGGCCATGGATAGCCAAGCAAATCTATGAAATGTTCCCCCCTTTTAATCACGACAATACCAAAACCAAATAGAGTAAGACAAGTAAAGGCCTCCAAATGACCAAAAAGAAAGTTACCCATTCCTTTTACAAGTCTTTCAGTTCATATTTGAGGACAGTGGTGGTGGATTAGCCTCACTTTGGGCAAATCCAGGACTCTTCAACAGTCTTCATTCTTTGTAAAATCTTTTTCCAAACAAACCTGTTTATGGGCTTGAAAAAAAAAAAAAAAAACCAAGATGAAAATGCCATTGCCGCAAGCAGCGACAGTCTTATTCATACATATCGCCAATTAGGAAAGTGAGAAAAGAAAGACATTTTGGATGTTTTCATGCAATATTACTTTCTCAATAGTGATTCAATGAGATAAGGACATGAGAATTACAACAAAAGAGTGGGATTTTTTGTTGCTATTGCATGTGAAAGAAATTCTGATTGTCATCCAAAAAAAAAAAAAAAAGAAATTGTAACTAGATAGGATTCAAGCATTTTCTATATTCCTACATATTATTTTCTTTGTGGTAATTTTTTTCTTTTTGAATGTTTCAGAATTATTTTTTTCATTAAATTTGTAATGTAATACTTTTACTTTTTTAAATATATACATTTTTTTTATCTTTTGACATTAAAAATCATAGAAAAATAAATTAATATATATGTTTCCAAATTTTAAAATTTTTTTGACAGGTTTTGTGGAAAAAATTAAAAATCAATTACACGATAAGATGAAGTTAACGTAAAATTTTAGGCAAATAAAATCTGATTTTTTTTTTTTTTTGGATTTGGGCATAAATTTCCGAAATTTTCTTTCTAAATACTTTTAACTAGAAAAAGAAAATTTAAAATTAAAAAAAAATTAAAAGTTTGTGGAAAGCGCCTTCTCCACTGCCAGCTGAAATTTGCATCATAGCCCAAATGTGGCATGGGAGCGTCGGGACTTGGGCCAAAGATATATTTTTTGTCGTAGCTTCAAAAAAAAAATATTAATAAGTAATTGGTTCAATTGATTAATATATTTTATTTTGATTTAGAGCATTGAATAATTTATTTATTTTAATTTTTTCTTATAGAAAAGGGAAAAAATAAATAATTCTATTCAAAATCTAGCCAAATGAAAAGTGCTCAGCCTAAATCAAATTATGTGTGTAACTTCAACTAACAAATAAACAAAACAGATTAACAATGAAATGCAAAAGGAGAAAAAGAAACACTTTTTTGCTTTCCTTATATTTGCTAAAAGAAACAACATATTCCTTCCATGATTAATAGTCTATGGAAACTATAAGTGATATATGTTGCTTTGGACCCAACCATATCGGTTATTTTTTTTAATTTTCAACACTCCAATAAAATTAAAGCTAATCTTATCTCAATGATAAAGTTGAGGTTTTGAATTTTTTAAGTTTAAGAATCAAATTCTCGGGTCGAATTATGTTTTCAGTTTTATCAAGCTATATGCTAGTTTGTTGATATATTTGTTTAATTTATTTATAATTAGTTTCTTATATATATATATATATATTAAAAGATCTATAGTTCAATTATGATTCTAATGTAACCCAGTAAATTGCTACCAATAGCTTAGGGTTCTCATTTTTCACCACCCTTGAAACCCTAAAGATAACCATCAAAGAGACAATGTGATCTGTTTCCTAGAGAATCCACTAATTCTGACATATGTTATTGTCCATGGTAGGCCAACCCCAATGTAACAGCTAAGGGTGCAAATCCTCGTGGGAGAAATGATGTTCTGGCTTCTTGGTAGAGAAGGAGAGGGAGACAAGTTGCACGGACGAAAAATTTTGAGTGACACTTAACCTAACAATACTTAACTGTTTCCTTTTCTCAATGCTCTTATCTGGATTCCAATGGACACATTCAAATAATTGTCCTTCAATTAGGGTTCAAACACTTCTTCTACCTACCATGTGATTTTCTGCTTAAAGTTAATACAATACATGCTCACACATGTAATTTTAAAGTGGAATAAAATTTTTATTATTACCTTTAATTAGAGGCGGCAAATGAGCTGGTCCAATTGGGTTTGGATCACTTTACTTTGGGTGGAACAAAAGTTACCATTTTCGGGTTTAAATTATTTTAAATTTGGATAATTTCAAAATTGATTTAATTTAAATTTAAATTATTTTAGGTTTAAATCTTTTTTTATAATGAAAAATTAAACTTAATTGAATTTTAAAATTTAAATTTTAGACTCGAGCAACTCAATTCAACTTGATTATATTCATAGATACAACTTTAAACATTCAATATATATTTCTCGTTTGAATTTTTAGAAAAAAAAATTGTACGATTATTAGGTAAAGATCAATTAAATAACCAGAAGTGTTCAATAATCAGTTTTAAAGCTAAAAATTTATTAGGTAAATTTTTTTATATATAACATGGTTAAGCATATATGTTTAAAGATTGTGATATTTACATTCTTTGAACAAAGAATTAGAGCAGTAGGTCTCCTAGAATTTTTCTCCAAACCGTGAAATAGTTTTCCAAAAAGAAAGGATTAATTGTATACAAATAATACTGGCCACTTAGTGGATTGAATGAATTAGGATTCCAAAATAAAAAGGGTAAGAAGTCAATTTGGCACTCATGAATTTACTAATTGGCACCATTCTTTGAAAATCTTAGTTAATATGTCAAAGAATATTAAATTGATAACATCATGAAACAAAAATTAAAAGGAACACATAATCAAATAAAAATTTGAGGAAGATATAGGGTTTTACAGTTTTTTATGTTTCCTCCCTTTGAACTTGAATTTAAGTATATATCAAGTTCATTGAATTTTTTTTTTTAACAAAGATGTCGCAATTTAAATATAAATGAGAGGGTTTTAAGTATTGAAATTTAAAGTTTAAATCTATTAAATATCAATTCTTAAAATTAATTATATAAATAAATTAAATTAAATTCTGAATTTTTATCGAAAGTTTTTTTATAAAGTAAATTTAAACAAAGGAAAATGGCTAAACATTGGTAATGCCGTAGAACAAATGCTAGCTCTAGGATTTGTTTTGGGTTAGGTTTCTTTGGTCAAAGGGATTAATATGTTTATTAAATATCTACTAGATTTTATCAAAATGTATGAATAAAGAGGAAAAGGTGCATGATCGTCAAAATTTCCTAGCTTTTTAGCACTAATGATTAAGCAAAACAAGTTGGATAGGACAGCTTTTGATTCATACATATAGCAAGTAAACAAGGCAAGTTCAAACCCTTTAATCCGTGGGTTCAATATCACAATTATTTTGTTTTGGCATCCATGTCATGGGCATGCTCATGAACTTTTTAGCTGTCAATTTTTTTTCCTACAAATAAAACACCTATCAATTTGAAACCCTTTTAATTAATAATTTACATAGGAACAAAAATTAAGCCTATTAGTACTTTAATTAATTTCATTAATTATTTTATTTTTTAGAAAGAATACTATAATACAATGATAGAAAAAAATTATTAATGTTAAAATTATTATTAGTGACTGCATAAATCAATTTAAATTCATTATTTATTTAATTTTTAAATTGCAATCAATTATTACAAATTTTCATACTTTCTTCACTTTGAGAGAAAGCAAGCTCTTGGAGAATCTTGTTCTCCAATCACTTAAACTAGTTTCATCATAGTTTTTAACTTGCTTTTTTAGAGTTCTCATTCCATGTCAGCTGCAAATACAAAGGGAAAAAAAAACAGAAATTAATAAAATATTTATTGAAATTTAACTGATCACATGAATGGATTATGTTCAATCAAGAAATTGAAAATGAAGAACAAAAGTAAGCTGCTGGTTAAATGTGAGGGCCATAAATAATTAAAAAAATGTTAAAACCTTTAATTTTGTTCTGAGTAATGTTTTACCTTTATTATTAATGTGTTTTTTTTATTTTGCCAATATAATTAATCTGTAACTGTCTAATGTCTTTGGTAAGGGGCTGTTTATAATAATTTAAAATTTTCTACCTTATTTGCCAACTTTTAAAAATATATTCAGATTGTAAATGAAAAGAAAGTAAAATGGAGCTTTCAAAAACTTTCTAAAATAATTAAGATTGATTTATTGCATTGGATTCAAGACTTTGATTCATAGTGACCTGAAATTATATATGGACCACCCAATTTTTAATTATCTCATACCTAATATCTTGCATCATCTAATCTTCCAATTTTCTTGGGAATATTATTTCATCCAATAGATAGTTTTTTTTTTTTTCTTGTTCCGGCTTATATA